TATCCACTGTCAGCGACACCGTGAGCGACAAGGACCAAGCGAGATTGGACTTCGAGCCGTACATGGCGAAGTGTAGGTTGCGAATGAACGAAATATCACCAGAGAAATGAGCTGGGGAGGAGCCCCGTCCGTTGAAGAACGAAGCCACCGCCCTTCGTCATCTGTTAAGGCATTCGTGCCACTTAGAGGTGCAAACGAGCCAAGCCGAGCCCAAGCCTGGCCAGGCTCGGCTCGGGCTTGTTTAAGTTATACGAGGCTCGAGCTTGAGCTCAGATCGATTCGAGCTTTCTTTTACTGAGCTTGACTCTAGCTCGTAAAGAATTATACAAGCTTGGCTCGGGCTTGGGCTCGGCTTATTTTTCGTTTAATGTGCCTACATAAGCTTAAGCTCGACTCAAGCTCGTTAAGAAGCTCGTTTACTAATACCCCGAAATCAATAATTTCCCAAATATGTTTTTATTTTAATATATGAAACTAATAATAAATTACATTATATAAAGGCTCGTTTAAGCTCGAGAGCCTAATCGAGCTTAGTTACATAGGCTCGAGCCCGAGCTCGTTTAATAAACGAGCTTAATATTAAGCTCGAGCTCGGCTCGGGCTCGTTTAAAACCGGTTTCGAGTCGAGATTTTAACGAGCCGATCTCGAGTAGCTCGCGAGTAGCTTGGCTCGTTTGCACCCCTAGTGCCACTCTGAGTCCGATAGCCGCCATTCCCGCTTACTACTGTGTCGACTTATGCCACTGTTACATCCCCGCTATCGATATTGACGTTGAGACCGGCTGGGTTGGTCACCGAGACTGACAGGAGGAGCCGTGAACGAATGGAAGATCCCCGGTGAGGCTAACCGTGAGCTATTTTCTCCAGAATTTCGTTCCTTTTGATTATACTGAGTCATCACCGCCGTTTTATCTCGCCAATCCGCCACTTGCCGTCTGCTGCCATCCTCCGCCACCACAGCCACCATGGAAGGTGGTTATGTGCATGTATTACTATGTTTTTTAGGTTTGTATGGTTTTATTTCTATTAGTTATGTGTGTTTGGGTGTTTTGGTTAGCTGGAGTTCATGGAAGAGCCACCGCCACCACCATGAGGTGGTGGCTGCCGCCAAGCGCCACCACCGGCCACCACGGTGTGGGTGTGTGTGTGTTTGTATTCTAGTGTAGTATGTGTGTGTGTCATTTTGGTTTTTTCATTGTAAATTGTAAAAAAAAAAAGGAATAATGGACAGAAATTGAAAACCACCACCTTAGGGTGGTGGCTGCCGCCACTAGCCACCATGTTGGGTGGCGATGTGCCTAGTTTGTATAATGACACGTTGGGATGTTTGGAAAAAGGGACTAAAACCCTAATGGACCTAGCAAATCCCTAATAGGATTAAAGTTTAATTTTGGGCCTATTGGGCCATGTTTGGGTGAAAAACCCTAATTGTGAGTATTTGGGCATTGGACTTATTTGGACCCACTTTTGAGCTATTGGGATTGGATTGTGTATTAAGCCCAATTATTCCACATCACTTATCTAGTAGAGTAAATGACTTAATGGATTAAGTCCTTAATGGGTTAAGTGAGAAACACTTACATTTAATTATTATTTTATGTGAAACCCTAATTTCACTTGGACTTTGAGTTGGGCCTTCCTATTGGGCCTTGGTGATTGGGATAGTAATGGACCATCCAAGAGCAAGAAAATGGACTATAATAATCTAATGGACTTAAGGTAAGTCCCACATAAGGAGTCTGGGCCTAATTTGGAAAATTGGGCCATAGATAGGCCATAGTTGGGCCTTGCTCCATTATTAGACTTTTGGGCCTTTGGATTGGGCCTTGGGCTTAAGTCAAGCTAAGCCAGGGGTAAAGTAGTCTTTTACCCCAAGTATGGACTTATGGTTATGAGTTGGAACCTAACTATTAATTGGGTGTTATTTTTTATATTGACAGATCGGGAATTTATCACCCAGCAGCTATGGTTTTGTTAGCAGAACTTCAGCAGTGTGAGGTGAGTATTCCTCCAGTAGGAACGGGTCTAAGGCACCAATACTGACCCGTTTTAGTAGTAGAGTATGCCGGGGTAAGCCCGATGCAGTTTATATGTTTTCGGACTTCGGTCCGATGTCGGGGCGGTCCCGAGAAGTAGTTATGTACGCTTGATGTCTTTGTGATTCATGCATGTTTAAGTGTTATTTGTTATGTGTTCCGGACTCCGGTCCGATGTCAGGCAAGCCCGATGCAGTATTTGTGAATACGTTATATGTTATGTGTTCTAGGGTAAGCCCGATGTATGTTAGTCATTATGCCATGTATTATGTATTCGAGGCAAGCTCAATGTATGTTAGTTTATGTGTTATATGTTCCGAACTTCAGTCCGATGTCGGGGTAATCCCGATGCTGATTATATGATTATGTTAATTGTTCCGGACTTCGGTCCGATGTCGGGGCAAGCTCGATGCAGTTTACATGATTATGTTATGTGTTTGTGATATATGTTATACTATGTATGTGTCGGGGTAAGCTCGATGTCGGGGTGAGCCTGATGCGGTCGGATGCCGGGGTAAGCCCGATGCCAGACATGAGTCTGATGTTGGGTAAGCCCCGATGCAGTTGGGAAGAGTCCCAAAGTTACGTTATTTGTTATATGTGCTTTGTATGGTATGTAGTAGTTTGGGGGAGCTCACTAAACTTCGTGCTTACAGTTTCAGTTTTGGTTTCAGGTACTTCAGGTTTCAAAAGATGAGCTCGGGAAGGTTGCAGTGCACACACTATTTGTTCAGCCCGTGATGTTTATACTCTGATATATATGACAGTTGTTATAGTATTCTGAGATACATCGTTTATGATTTTTCTATGACGTATGATGATTATGGTTTTTATTATTAAATTAAAACGAAATTTTTGGCTTGTATTTTGGGATGTTTCATTTGATATGAGTATCGTATGTTGTTAATGATTTTAAAAACAAAAATTATATATGTATTTTTGGGATGTTACAAAAGGATGCTGAGAGTTTAGGGTCTTCCAAAAGAAGGTGGTTGTTGTAGGAGTGAGTTTTTTGACGTGAAGAAGAAAATGATTAGAATGGGAAGAACTGATATTAGGTGCCATGATTATATGGAAAAATTACCCCTGGCGTGCTAGACATGTGAGCTCTATTAACGAAGATGTTCATCGTGCAAAATAAAATATATGGACCAAATGTGAAATTTTGCAAACCACGTGGATCATTTCAGTAATTTGTTCTTATTTTTATGAGAGTTGTTTTTTATTCTATAGTATAATGATTGTATTGTTAAAAGACTACAAAAATATATTATTTCTTTTATAAAAATATGTTTTAGTATCATATATTGAATATAATAAACAAGAGAAATAGCTTACCGTGTGCTTCATCAACGTCGATTTCATCAATATGGGCTCTAATCTTCCATCCAACCATTGTCGGCTTCTTAAAGAGTTGATTGGAGTTGAGATACCGAGAGTTTAGGGTTTTCCAAAAAGGGTGGTCGTTGTTGGAATGAGTTTTTTGACGTGAAGAAGAAAATGATTGGAATGTGAAGAGCTGATATTAGGCGTCATGATTAAAAACACAAAATTACCCCTAGCGTGTACGTGCCACGTGAGGGTCTATAAACAGAGACATTCATCATGCAAAATAGAAGATAGGGACCAAACACATAATTTTTGTAAACTACTAGGATTATTTCAGTAATTTATTCTTATTGTTAGGATGGTTGCTTTTTTATTCTATAGTATAATAATTGTACTATTAAAAGAATATACAAAAATATATTATTTCCTTATAAAATATGTTTTGTTATCATATATTGAAACTAATCTAGTTTGTTTCCGTTATACATCACCATGTATATACATCTACATAAACCATATAATATCTGAACTTAAACCTCTAAATTATTATAAACCGTGTGACTCCCATTGTCTCCTTAGCGACTTAGTTCACCAAACTATTGTCAAACACATTTTCAATATTCCTTTTGGGACCATTTAAAATGAGCACATCCAATCCCTTTTTATTCCAAGTATAATCATCACCAAAAGTACAATTATACATGCACGGATTACAAGGTGCTCCAATGGAATTTGGTTGTAATGTAATGGTGGTCGATTTGAGTAGCCATCACTATTCAATTCCATTTAGAGTGGGGAAAGATTTGGTCCATAGTAAGTGTTGTTGAAGTGGGTTGGGTTGGGTGTGGGGATATGGGGTTGTCTTCCTTTTGTCAACAGAGATATGGTGAGGGAAGTGGAAGACACTATTTGAAGGAAAAAGTATATTAGAAAATAACTTATGAAAAGGTTATATTAAAAGGACTTTATAAAATATTGTATTGAAATGACATGACATGTGACACCTAATTTCTCTTAGCAAATCAGGATATCATATATTTCATCTTCGTATGTCGGTGACAACCATTTACATATCCATTTTAATCAACATGGTTATTATAAAATTTGCAACCAAGTGATTGCATGGTTACAAAAGGTAGACAAAATTACTCATATTCATAGCCTCATGTTTAATATTTCATTTATTCCATATTAATAGTCTATGTTTCATAATTAAAACTTTGGTGTCTAATAAATAAATTTTAGATAATTTGTTAGCAATATATACCATTAATTAATCCTTTTCAAAATGTGCATATATTAGTATGTATTTTCTAGGTCTCTTAAACTTAGGGCAGCCTCATTATGTGAGGCTATTAATCAGACAAAGGATCTTTTTGGGCCATTCACAATATAAATTGGAAGTTTGACACCTTAAATAAAATCTTCAAAGTTTGACACCTTAAATAAAATCTTCATTCTTTTGCTACAAGTGTTGGATTGGGTCCACACATTTCATGAATTATGTGTCCATTCCCCTTGGTCAAAGCAAATCAAGAAATGGTCCTTCCTTTTGACATTTTGAACAAAAGTCAGAGGGAGAGCACACAACTTGTGTTTCTTATATAACCACCTATTCACCTTTTACTTTGAGTACATCCCTTCTAAAATAATAAAGTCAAACTCCCCGGCGTTCATCCACACAATCTCTCAAAAGTCAACGCTTTTCCGGTGGCTCCTCCTACTGGCACACACGTATCCGTTGACAGGAGGAGAAAGACCACACTTTCCTTCACAAAATGGATGATGAATGGGATTTGCATGCGGTGGTTAGGAGCTACACCACCATCTCCACCGATGCCACCACTGCCGCCTCCGGAACAAACACAACCACCAGCGATGATGGTTTTGATATGATGGAAACTGTAGCATCTGGAAATGAAATATACCAGTTTTCATACTCAAATACCGGCGAGAACCCATCGGAGGGGTTAGAGGAAGTATACAAAGAAGGGTGTTCTCAGCGGCTGAGCACCATCGCCGCCGCCGTTGTTTCTGGTGATGATGAACAACTGCCGGTGTTTGATGGTTCATGCGACTCATTTTCCAATGAGACTCCAAGTAGAAAAAGGTAATTAATGTTTCTGTAATTTGGGGCTTATATTCCATGAAAAATAGAATTTGATTTATGAAAAAAAAAAACGATTGAATTTGAAGGAAAAACCAGCAGAAGAAGGTGGTGGTTGAACTGACACAAGAGGAGTTATGTAGTGACACATGGGCATGGAGGAAATATGGTCAAAAACCCATCAAAGGCTCCCCCTTTCCAAGGTTTTCATATATATCTTCTTTTTTATGTACATAAATAAATATTCATGTAGAATTGGAAAAAAAAAACCCAATATCCTCATATACATACCATGAAATTCAAATATACACGCATATATAAATAACTACACACATAAATGAAAATACAAATGTATATATATGTTGATGTTTGGATTTCTAGGTATGAAAAACCCCAATACGTATTTGGTACTTATGGGTTGGATTGGATTGAAACGAAGTGTCGCTTGTGAAATATGTTACGAAGATGTTTTTGGTACAAAGTAATATAATGCTTGTTTAGATAATTAATTTCAAGTCATTAAATATATATTTACATGAGAATTAATGTTGGTAAATGGTTTATATATGTTTATGTGGTCAGAAATTATTACAAGTGTAGCACAACGAAAGCTTGCGGAGCAAGGAAGCAAGTGGAACAGAGCCACGTGGACCCCACCGTTTTTATAGTTTCATACTCAGGAGAACACATGCACCCTCGACCCACCCACCGGAGCCCTCTCGCCGGCAGCACTAGGAGCAATAAGTCCACTATGGCCCACCTACCACCACCCATCTCAGATGACTGTCCTTGATACATTTTCCTCTTGAATTCACTGAACTTATAGTGATAGTATAGTCAATACTCAATAGTGTGAGGGTGAAAATGATGTTAACGATAATGGACTCTAATTTTTTGTAATCCCTTCTTTTACATGGAATGTGGAATCTTTGTGGCAAAAGGAATGTTGAATGCTTGCCTCTCTTGTGGCATTATTTTTAACTCAAATCTTTCAAAGAATATGGAATCATATGGCAGAAACGAATGTTAAGTTTGAGATATGTTCGGAAAAGGACTTACGAACAAAAAAATTGGACGTGGTTTCTACTTTATACGATGTTTATTTATAAGATCTCAAAATCAAACCTCAATGGTACCTTGGGAAAAATATTTTTTGGAAAAGTTTTACTTTATAGTCTCAATTTTTTTAACAGAAAATTCCAAATTATTTCATTTTGCACCATAATATATCATTTCCTATTAAAAGAAAAAAAAATTGTTAATTTGAAGCAAAATGAAATAATTCAAACTTTTATATTCAAATTTTTTTTTGAAGGATTAAAGTGAAACTTTTCCAAAAATATTGAGATTTTTCTAACAATTTCCCTTGTATGTTTAACAAAACTTGATAGTTTTTAGCAAAATTGTTTGACAAAGATAATTGTTAGCTTTTAAAGATCATGTAAAGCTAAGTAAAAACCAAAATCTATTGATAAAGATAATTGTTAGCTTTAAAGATCATGTAAAGCTAAGTAAAAACCAAAATCTAAAAGCTAAAAACTCATACTTTCAAACAAATATGTAAAATTACATAATTGGTTTATGTTCCATAAAAAAAAAAAAAAAAAAAAAAAAAAAAAAAAAAAAAAAAATGTTACCTCACAAATTGTTTTACTTTTGACTTTTTTCTAAAAAGCTACAAATTAAAAGCTTTTAAAAACTCTCTATCGAATATACTCATAATCTCCAAATTTACACCAAGTGTACACCCCACACCTCCAAACTCGATCAGTTAGTAAATGAAACTTGGCTTATCTCATTGTTAATAATAATTACACTAAAATATGTTGATAACACTAAAATTACCAACATTCCTCTCCCATTTTAGTGTAATCTTTAATTAACTAAAAGCAAACACAAAATCAAATTTATGCGTAAATAAAAATATCTTGAAGATTGAATTTTCACATTAGTATAATATACATGTCATATACACGAGAATCTAGGTGTCCTAAAGATTGAACCCATCAACTCATTTGAGTAATTGAAAATACTATACACATAAGTTAAACACAATATCTAATGTATCATACCTGACACTATTACAACCATGTGCCCTATCCATTCATGAGTGCATAAAAACCTAGCCCAAAATTTTTGAAGCGGAACCACTTCACACTCACATAGGTAGTCCTTCTATATCTTGCACCTGTTAATGCACTATTTCAAAAGAACTATTAAAAACTTAATCAACCCACATTAACAATTCACGTTATAAACACATACCTTGGGATGTAGTCAACAAATGTGCTTCAATCTCCATAAGCAAGCTTTCCATATTAAATTCAATTTCTAACGTTGTATTAGAAGGGAATTGAGTATCTCACCCATAGAGATATCAAGTGGGCCTTAATTTCATCCCTATAACCAACTTCTTCACGTGCCATGATGTTCCTAACACCCAAATGTCGTGAATTTCCATTATACACTTGACTGTATGCTTTTTCCAAGGTGGCAACACTATCACATTGTATAGAAATAGGTGTTATAGGCTTTGGCCACAAAGGAATTTCATAAATCAAATCCTTAATCATTCTGCTTCTTTTCCAGTAGCTGCAATGGCTATAAATTCAGATTCCATAGTTGAATTTGTGATGCATGTTTGTTTCTTAGGAACCCATGAAATGACATCTCTACCAAGAAGAAACACACAACCACTTGTAGAATAGTGGTCCTCAACATTAGTGATCCAACTAGCATCTGAATATACATCAATAACTGAAGGAAACCCTACATAAGTCAAACCAAAATCCATGGTTTTCTTTAGATACTTCAGCACTCTCCTTACTGCTTGCCAATGATGAGTATTAAGATTGCTAGTAAACCTACTTAGCTCCTTACCACCAGGGGTTCTGCCATTGGACCCCGTTAGGGGTGCTGCCCCTAGACCCTGCCAAGGGGCTACAACCCCTTGGAACCCCGCACCTAGGGGTGCCGGCGGCGGATTGTCGTATTCCCGACTTCACAATTATCACACTGAGTGTACCCTGCACCTCCAAGCTTGGTTAGTAAATAAAACTCAGTCTATCTCATTATTAATAATAATCACACCAAAATATGTTGATAACACTAAAATCATCAACATAAAATAAGATTTCAACCGATCGTTACTTATAGGGATTGAGAACCCAAATACGATGAATTTTACAAATAAACACAATTTCTACTTTTCGTCACGCGCCGGAGTTAGCTAACAAACGAGATGAGTTATACCGACAGGAGATAGAGAAAGGAGTCGAGAGAAGTGATAGTTAATTCAAAAGAAAATGGGAAGGAAAGTCGGGAAAAATGACATTTTTTCTGTATTTAACAAAAAGTCAATCTTATTTCTAAAACAAGTTCTTGCTAATGGTAAAAAATGAGGTTTAAATGTGGGAGTTGTTCTTATTTTGCCAGAGGGTTAGTTAAACGTGGGATAATTCATAGATTTTTGGGTTTTGATTACCAAGGAATAGAGAGTTTATAAATCAAATGGGGGATTGGCATTTCATCCCCCCCCCCCCCCCCCCCCCCCCAAATATGCGTGTATTTCTTATGTAATACGAGTTATGTTTATATATTTTTATGGTAAAATGTTGGAATCGAGCAGGGACGAACAAATCCAAACAAATAAAATGAGAAGTGCAACAAATTGAAAGCGATACAAAAACCGATTATACGATTTTTAATTTGACAAAAAAACGACTGAAGTCGGTGCAGTACAGTTTCACCTTACAAACCAATACTCAAAACTATACATCATTGCTATTATATATATATATATATATATATATATATATATATATATATATATATATATAAACATAATATAGTGTGCGAATGTATGACTAATTCTTAACCAAACATTTCATTGGGGTAATATAGTAAAATTCATTAAGTAGTTAATTACTAACCCAATTTAAAAACCAATAATTTAGGAAAAGTAAACAACTATCGTTAATACAAAATCGCTTTACTGAGGAAATTTTATTGAAATCATCAAGCTCGTCTTCAAACACTTATCATCATCATCATCATCTACACACATTGCCATCTCGCCGAAATCGACACCCTCAATTACGATTGAAGTTTATCGTCACTCACCACCCATTTCGTTTTCGTTTCGTTCAACATCATCAAAAGGTTACCCATCATCGGCTTTACCCTAACCATCCACCATCTTCGTATATCTGTCATACCAATCATCATTATTTCATTTGTTTTAACCAGGAACACCACAACCTTCTTCTTCACTCCACCCTCTTTACCACCAAAAACCATATGCTTATATTTGAAAGACATCAGAAGGCAGGTTGCAATGCATTAACCCCACTTTTTACTGGAATAATGATGATTAGAATCTTAGTTTTGAAAGAGGGAAGTCAGGATTTTCTATTTTTTTTGTGTCCGGTTAACGCATGCCAACTGCTCGACGAATTGCTCTTGCAATTTTGCATCAGAAATTTTGTTGTGGGTTTGACTATTTCCATGGACTTTGAGCAAGAACTTTGGGTCTTGTACAAATCAGGTAAAACTTGATAGGTACTTAAGTATTTATTGGGTATGTGTGTTTTATTGTCCAAGAGTCGTTTTTCGTTTTAAATTTATCATATTGACATGTCTTGATTCGTTACGAAGCTTTTATTGATTAAAACCCTTATTGACTTATCATTATCATAATGTTTCTAGATCTCCTGGAAAGAAGTACCAACAGCGAAGCATGGGATTTATACTTGAAGCATCTAATCCTCAAAATTTTGTTAGAAATTTTGATTTCCGGTTGATGATAATTCTTTTATTTTTCATGTTTAATCTCTATAAGAAATTTTCATATCTAATATATTTGGCCTTTATCTTATTCCAATCCTTACGGGGCATTTCATGTGTAAAAAAATTTCATGGTTTTTTCTACCATCTCCTACTTCACTTTTAAAATTTTAATTTTTTTTTTTTATTATTTCAATAAAAAAAAAGCTTGGAGCTTGATTAAAGGTGTTTGTTTTAACTGTTTCAATTTCAAGAATCTTGGATTTCCTTGTTAATATGATGGGGTGTGAGATAAAAGGGTTATTCCTAGGTATTTGGTTTATTGGTATTTAACAGAGAAATGGTTGACTGAGGATTAAGTACCGTTTTTTTAATCTGTTATATACTTTTGTAGTTGATTATATATTTGGTTTTGAATTAATTAACTGTCATATTATTTAAGATTGAACCAAATTGGTTTATTATAAAGTTCCATTCTTAAAGAATGGTATATATATACTATCATGGATATGTAATAATCGATACTCATATAATAAAAAAATACATGCTTAAAGCATGCTTACTTTTGTATAATATAACAGTGGTTTATGAAAATTGGTTCCATGCTTATTTATGTTTAATATCAATTATAGAATACAGATTTATGAAATTGATTATATAATAAGATATATAAAAATGGATTCTAAACTACTTTGTTTTACTTTTGTAGTTGCAGATGTAATACAAGAAGCACCACAACAAGCATCAATATATTTACAAGCAGAACCTCTACAACAATTACCATTGGAAGAAGTGTTTAAACAAGAAGAACAACAAATAAAAATCCAAGGGGAATAGAACTTGCATTTTGAAAAACAGTAATTTTGTTTGTTTTTGTTTTATTTAACGTATTTGGTTTTTGAAACTAATAGAATGATGTTGATAACCTTTATGCAATATTTCTGAAAATGAAAATGTGAAATTGGTATGACTTCAAATTCATTCTTGAAGCATAATAATTTGAATTTTGTACATTCATTCTTGAAGAACCTCAGATGTGATAACACGGTTGTTAGAATAAACATAACCAAAGGTATATTCTTCCAGAATAAGCATAACCATATGCAGTGGCAGAGCCAGGCTCAAAGCAAAAGAAGATCCTAATTATTTTTTCCTGGGTATCACCGCAACGGCTGAGCATGGGCGGTTCGGGTTAGTTTTTCCTAAAACCGACAGCCTCAGTTTTGAAAATTTTAAACCAAACCGAACCAATACCATTGGTTTGGTTTTTCGGTTTTCAATTTGTACTTGGGTTTCCTGGTTTGGTTTTGGTTTTAAACTCAAACCTTAATCAAATTGTTAGCTAACTTCAAGTATTGTTATATAAACATGAAGTTGAAGTATCTTTTGATACTTCAATTGATGTGGACTTAAAGTAGATATTAAATAAAGCATGATGATACCAAACTTATATAATAGATGAAAATAACTAAGTTTACATGTGTTTGACAATGTGGGATAGAATAGTTGGGAAAATGAAAGAATAAAATAGTTGGAAAAATAAAAGATATGTAAACAAATATTTTGTAAGGAGCAAAAATTTATCTTGAGACCTTTATTTCATTAAGCCAGCATCTTAACCAGTAGACTAACTATTTGTTTGTGTTTATAGGTGAAGGGATGCGTATATATACGCTACATAAAACGATTTTTTTTCTAAAAAATATACACTACCAAAATTTTTTTGAGGGGTATCCCGGGATACCCCTTGGATCCGCCCCGACCATATGTACATGCTTGAAGAATGTGATATATATATATATATATATATATATATATATATATATATATATATATATATATATATATATATATATATATATAATGAATACAAAGAGTGTTCATATTCTCATAGAATGCTTTGTCAAATTCTATTTTTATTTATTTTTTATATTATTCTCATATTAATAATAATATGTCAACTTTGCAATAATAATAATTGTTATTTTGATGCAAATTATTACTATTAACAAATATGCATACATATTAATATTAGTTCTCAAACAATCATTTGACTGTAGTCATATTTTTTTAAGAATGAAAGGACATGTTCAATGATCTTAAATTGCTTTTATAATAATAATAATAATAATAATAATAATAATAAAATTTTGTTAGCTTATATAGAATTGAAAAAAAATGTAACTCCCTAAATAATAGCAACTTCCTTACTTTGTGATGAATAATAATGTCTATAATGCCCTCACGAACAAGTTTTTTTTTAAATAAAGCAATGTTGCTATGTGATGCATGACACGGTAACTATCGTATACCACATCAATCTTATTCATTAAGAATTATAATCTGATGGTCCAAATCTAATCATACATTTACACAATAATGGTAATTCATATTTAATCCTAACCTCACACACACACACACACACACACACACACACATATATATATATATATATATATATATATATATATATATATATATATATAGAGAGAGAGAGAGAGAGAGAGAGGTTTATCGATATTTATTTTTGAATAAACTAAAGAAAAATGTAAGGATCTAAGATAATTCAATTTTCTTTTTCAATTTGAACATAATCCTAACGCTTGTTGAGCCTGAGTAACCGCGTCTCCCACCAAGCCAGTTCAACCTCCATTACGGATTATGGACTAAAATAGTAAAGCACAAAAGTTAGTTCATGTTTCTCGGCCAGGCATGTTCGGTAAAGGGCTTAAATGTTAAAAATTTAATTAAAAAATGATTTACTTCTAGTCTCTTGATGTTTTAAAATTGTATCACGATAGAAAACCACATCATTTTATAAAACGGTTTAAAGTCGAAAACGTACTACTAGAAAAAACCCACAAAATTATACCACTTGAAAAACTGCACATAACGGTTTTAAGATTACAAAAATCAATGCATGCACTTTGTGGTTTGCTGTTGGCTTAAAACCACATCATGCCCACCTCTAAAATACAACAACCAGATAGTGACGTTTTCTTATATTGGTTATAAATGATTTTTACATATATTTTGGATTTGTAAAAGCACATTCTATTTATAGAGCATATAGTAAGGGCTTTAACCCAACTCAATTTTACATTATATAAATAGAGAAATGAATAGTTACATTTTAAATTTGGAGTGTAAATTATACAATCTCTATTACACTCTGTTTTTATATTATTTTTTTTGAGTGTAAAATGGAATTTAGAGTGGTTGGAGATGAACAGTTATAAACTCTATTTTACACTCTAAAAATAGAGTATTGTTGGAATTCTCTAAGTATTGTTCTTTTAGGGTTGTGAACAGCTACGTTCAAAAGTTTAGTTTCTTTCATTAATGGATTGAGTAAAAGTCGCATCAAATAAAAGTTGCGCCACTTATAACGTAGTTTACAACACTCAATAATTTAATATGCTTATTTAAAAATAAGTAATAAAAATTTTCAACACAAAGCAACTAATAATTAATAATTAATTAAACCTAATTTAAAATAATTTCCTAACAACTTATAATTAATAACCAACAAATTTCGATCGTAAATCCCTAACAAAATATTACATACTAACTTATATGAACTAGAATCTACCCATGAATTTTAAAGTTGGATTGTAGATCTAACATAGGAGTCGACAGGAAGTTCTACACTAGACTCTTAAGTGTCATTATAAAGAGAACTCGTTAGAATTTCCTCAAGGAATGTGCACCAGAAGCAGACTCTGTGGCCAAGTTTGATAAAAGATTAAGAGGAGATGGTTTTTCATTGTCGGAGAGAAATATCTTGGTGGGAGAAGCGTAGGTGTATAGTGTAACAACCCGATATTTCGACTCTATATAATGACCAAAAAAGTCAGGTATTGTAACCACTTTTGAAATAATGAAATTAACTTCGAAAATAAAATGTACAAAAGTCTCAATTGGGTTACCTACTATGCTAGATATTGTGTCAAGGTTTACAGAAATACTAAGAACACTAAAATCTGAGTTATAACCGAGAAGTTATGACCATTCTAAGATTTCCGACAAAACCGGCAACACCAATGAATGAAAAACACGAAGTTTCAATACAGTAGTTTTTAGCCTTAAGTATCTAAATGAAATTTGTAGATATCATTAAACCATAAACGTACGTAAAAAGAACGTCCAAATCTAACTTCGTATGAGGAAGTTATGATTTTTTCCAAGATCCGGATATAGCAGTAGACAGCTAAAAACTCAGAAATAGAGATCGAGAGACTTTTGGCCGAAACAACCTAAATAAGAATCGATGGTCTCAACCAAAGTAGCGCAACGGTAAAAAGTCTGGTAAAAACAGACGCCAGATGAAGAAGTTATGGATTTTTAACGGGTTTTTCCAGTCCCAGCCTGTTAAAATTAAATAATTAAAAATAAAGTCAAAATTTGCCAACGAAGTCTAAACGAGAGTTGTATAGTATATTCTCACCTACGTGTGCATATAAAGAACGTCGAAAACAGAGCTCGTACGCGAAAGTTACGGATTTTACAAGTTTAAGGCTCAAAATCTGAGGCTGTTAGGCCTATCACGACGTGACACAATTTGCAGCGATCCGGCAAGTGACTAAGGGAGTCCCATCAATGGAAGAGGATAAGATTTTGCTCACCACGACGTGACACACCAGAAATGCTCCTATAAATAGAAGCTTAAGGGTGTCGGGTTTGGTGCTCATCTCTTTCCATCTAAGTGTTGTTACTCTGCATAATTACCTCAAAAATCCATCCCGAAGCCCCGGTTTTCACACTCAAGTTCCAAAGTAAGGTTCTATACTCCCAAGATTCCCGATAATCCCGAGAAAATCAACTCTTCCAAGTCGAAGTTATGCTCGATTATTATCTCGCTTTCTCCCATCAATCAAGTGAGTTCATACCCCTATAAACTACACTTTCAAATGTTTTATCAATGATTTTATAACACTTTTAGGGGGGATACAAGTAAACACACAGTTATTATCGTGTGTAACATAAAGTTTCACTATATACTCTTTTTATCAAGTAAATCATATGTGATTCATAACTACTACATGAGAACTTGCGTATGCAATATATATTCTCAATAACATCTTGTCTTTTGAAAATAAAACATGTTTATATATATAAACGAATCAAACACTTTATTTATACTTGTAACGACCCAATTTTCACGTCCGAAAATTTCGTTCGAAAACATTACTTTAGAAAAACATTAGTAGTTAAAAACATTGTTTGATCAAACCATGACATAACGTAAACCATGTCTAAAAGTCAAACCATACAACCCATCAAAATATCAGAGTACAAATCCCAGTGAATCTCGTAAATGCGGAAACCAGAGTGTGTGCATGATGTGCCGCTACCGCGCCAGCTCCTTCCCCTTCGGTGAAGAGGTACCTGAAAACAAAACTGTAAAACATAAGCACAAAGCTTAGTGAGTTCCCCCAACGTACCACATACCATACAACACATAACATGCATACTGCCAGGCTATTCTGGGGTGCCTGACTACCCGGTACGGCCATTCTGGGGTGTCGACCTACCCATACGGCCATTCTGGGGTGTCATCCTACCCGTGTCAAGCCATTCTAGGGTGCTGACTACCCATGTCAAGCCATTCTGGGGTGCTGACTACCCATCGGTCCTAACAACCGATCCTCGGGGACTAGTCCCCTCCTACTACCTCTATCGCATAACATAACAGTCCAACATACAAACATATCATCACATACTATCAGACATTTTTTGGGGTGTATGACTACCCTGCGGTCCTAACAACCGAACTCTACTACTATCGCATATAACGTATCATGCTAGCATATAACATATCAGGTAGTAGCAAACCTAGATGATATCACAAAGACAATCATCTATCATACGTCTCCTACTGGTGGGCCGGCATTATGGCCTTAGACCCACCACTACTGGAAGGTAACTCACCTCAAA